TGGGTAACAAGAGCGAAACTCCGTCTCAAAAAAAAAAAAAAAACTTGTTTGTTTGTTTGTTTCTGAAATGGAGTATTGCTCTGTCGCCCAGGCTGGAGTGCAGTGGGATGATCTTGGTTCACTACAACCTCTGCCTCCCGGGTTCAAGCAATTCTCCTGCTTCAGCCTCCCCAGTAGCTGGATTACAGGCACATGCCACTGCATTTAGCTAATTTTTGTATTTTTAGGAGAGATGGGGTTTCACCATGTTGGTCAGGCTGGTCTCAAACTCCTGACCTTGTGATCCACCCACCTCAACCTCCCAAGGTGCTGGGAGTACAGGCCTGAGCCACCATCCCTGGCCTAATTATTATATGAATAAGAATATGGTATTATTCGTTACTATCTTCCGAGTGTCCAGAACAGAATCTGAAACATAATGGGCTTTTAATAACCTGTTCAATGTCAGGTTATTATTGAGAACCCAATAGTATACTGTTCCTAACTGTTCTACTATGTGCTAGCTGGTTTGCCCCCTACTTTGGTTCTTTCCTTTTGTTTTTTTGAGATGGAGTATAGCTCTGTTGCCCAGGCTGGAGTGCAGTGGCGCAATCTTGACTCACTGCAATCTCTGCCTCCCTGGTTCAAGCAATTCTCTGCCTCAGCCTCCTGAGTAGCTGGGATTATAGGCGCCCGCCACCATGCCCAGCTAATTTTTGTATTTTTAGTAGTGATAGAGTTTCACCGTCTTGGCCATGCTGGTCTCGAACTTCTGACCTCAGGTGATCCACCCACCTCGGCCTCCCAAAGTGCTGGGATCACAGGTGTGAGCCACTGCACCCTACCTGTTCTTGTTTATTAAATAGAAAAGGGGGTCTTTCTATGTTACCCAGGCTGGTCTCGAACTCTTGAGCTCAAACTAAAGCTCAAACTCAAAGTGCTGGAATTACAGATGTGAGCCATCACACTCAGCCTGGTTCTTTTTTTTTTTTTTTTTTGAGACAGGGTCTCACACTGTTACACTGTTGCCCAGGCTGGAATGCAGTGGTACCATTGCACAGCTCACTGCAGTCTCTGTCTCCCAGGCCCAAGCTATCCTCCCACCTCAGCCTCTAGAGTAGCAGCTGGTACGACAGGCACGTGCCATCATGCCTGGGTAATTTGTGGTGTTGTTGTTTTGTAGAGATGGGATCTTGCCATGTTGTCCAGGCTAGTCGCAAACTCCTGGGCTGAAGTGCTCCTCCCACCTCAGCCTCTCAAAATGCTGGGATTACAGGCATGAGCCACTGCGCCCAGTCTGGTTCTTATTTCTTTTTCTTCCCTTATTGCCTTAGCTAAAGCTTCAATTCAATGTTGCTTAATGGAAATGAATGTAAACATTATCTCTTCAACCTAGTCTTTAGCACCTGGTGGGCCCTCAACAGACACTTGTTGAACAAATGGATGAATGTATAAAGATAGCTTAAAGATCACCTCCATTTCTCAGCCAGACTCCCCCAGTCCTTATTCTGGGCCCCCACTGCAGGTTTTCTACCTCCGTTAAAGCACTCACCCCTCTGATATAACCTGTATTCTCCAGCAAGCAGAGCAAGAAATGGTACCCCTTCATGTGGCCCCCCAGCCTCGACCTCCTGGGCTAAAGCAATCCTCCCACCTCAGCCTCCTTAGTAGCTGGGATTACAGGCACACGCCACCATGCCCAGCTAATTTTTGTGTTTTTTTTTTTTTTTTTTTTTTAATAAAGATGGAGTTTCACCATGTTGCCTAAGCTGGTCTGAAAATCCTGGGCTCAAGCAAACCTCCCACCTCAACCTCTCAAATTGCTGGGATTACAGGCATGGTACACTGTGACTGGCCTAAAAAGTCGCAATATTTTTTTTGAGATGGAGTCTCCCTCTGTAGCCAGGCTGGAGTGCAATGGCATGATCTTGACTCACTGCAATCTCTGCCTCCCAGGTTAAAGCTATTTTCCTGCCTCAGCCTCCCTAGTAGCTGGGACCACAGGTGTGCGCCATCACGCCCAGCTAATTTTTGTATTTTTAGTAGAGACGGGGTTTCACTATGTTGGCCAGGATTGTCTTAATCTCTTGACCTCGTGATCTGTCCGCCTCAGCCTCCCAAAGCGTTGGGATTATAGGCGTGAGCCACTGTGCCTGGCTGTAAAAGTGTTTTAATAAGAAAAGTTAAAAAAAAAAAAAAAGCAGCTGCAGCAAGTTACCCAGATTTAGCTAAAATCACTGATGAAGGTGGCTACAATCAACAACAAATTGTTCAGTGTAGACAAAATAGTTTTTTTTTTCTTTTTTGAGACAGAGTCAGGGGGATGGGAAGAGCCTGTCGCCCAGGCAGGAGTGCAGTGGTCTGATCTCGGCTCACTGCAGCCTCTACCTCCCAAGTCAAGCAATTCTCGTGCCTCAGCCTCCGGAGTAGTTGAATTACAGGCTCACACCACATACCCAGCTAATTTTTTGTGTTTTTATAGAGAAGGGGTTTTGCCATGTTGCCCAGGCTGGTCTCAAACTCCTGAGCTCAGGCAATTCTCCTGGCTCCGCCTCCCAAAGTGCTAGGATTACAGGTGTGAACCACGGCGCCCACCCAACAAAATAGTCTTCTTTTGGAAGTAGATGCCAGCTAGGACTTTTGCCCAAGAGAGAAATTCAGTGCCTGGCTTCAAAGCTTCAAAGGCCAGGCTGACTCTCTTGTTAAAGGTTCATGCAGCTGGTGGCTTTCAGTTGAAGCCAACGCTCATTTACTATTCTGAAAATCCTGGGGACCTTAAGAATGATGTTAAGTGTGCTTGGCCTCTGCGCTATAAATAGAACAACAAAGCCTGACGACAGCACATCTGTTTACTGAATATTTTAAGCTGACAGTTGAAACTTCCTGCGCAGAAAAAAAGATCCGTCTCAAAATACGACTGCTCATTGTCAATGCAACTGGTCACCCAAGAGCTCTGATGGAGAGGTACAAGTAGATGTTTTCATGCCTGCTAACACAGCATCCATTCTGCAGCCCATCGATCAAGGAGGACATCTGACTTTCAAGAATGATTAGTGTTATCTTATTTATTTATTTATTTTGAGATGAGTCTCGCTCTGTCACTCAGGCTGGAGTGCAGTGGTACCATCTCAGCTCACTGCAACCTCTGCCTCCCAGGTTCAAGCAACTCTGCCTCAGCTTCTCAAGTCGCTGGGATTACAGGTGCCCACCACCACACCAGGCTAATTTTTGTATTTGTAGTAGAGACAGGGTTTTACCGTGTTGGTCAGTCTGGCCTCGAACTCCTGACTTCAAGTGATCCACCTGCCTTGGCCTCCCAAAGTGCTGGGATTACAGGTGTGAGTCACTGCGCCCAGCCTGTTTTCCTATTTTTAAAAATTGCCACAACCACCCCAGTCTTCAGCAATCACCACCCTGATGAGTTGGAAGCCATCAACACTGAGGCAGGTCCCTCCATCAGCAAAAAGATTACTGCAACCCCTGCCTCCCAGGTTCAAGAGATTCTCTGCCTCAGCCTACTGAGTAGCTGGGACTACAGGCGCCTGCCACCACACCCAGCTAATTTTTTGTAGTTTTAGTAGAGGCAGATTTTTACTGTGTTAGTCACCTGACCGGAGATAGTTACCTTTTTTTTTTAGCAATAAAGGTTTCTTTGTTTTTGTTTTCTGTTTTGTTTTGGATTTTTGGGGTTTTCTTTTGTTCTTTGAGACAGGGTCTCACTCTGGC